GACTTATCGCGACCCATGTTTGGGCCATTGGAATGGAATTGTGTATTAAGCCCAGTCACACCATATGATTTATTTAGAAGAGTAATAGACCAAATGGATTAAGTCCTTAACGAGTTAAGTGAGAAACACTTAACCCTAATTGTCATTTTTTGTGAAACCCTAAATTCACTTGGGTTTATTGTTGGGCCTTAATGATTGGGTTATTGGGGGGCCATCCAAGAAGAATCATATGGACTGGAATATGTTGATGGGCTTAGGGTAAGTCCCATATGAGGGCTTGGGCCCAATTTGGAAACTTACACCATAGATGGGCCATAGTTTGGGCCTTAATTATTATATCATATTGGGACATTAGAATGTCAATTGTTGGACTAAAATAAATGGTTGGGCCTTAGAGTGAAGCCATGTAAAGGTTTGGGCCCAATTTGGAAAATTAGGCCATATATTGGGCTTTGACTTATAGTTGACTATTAGGCCTTTGGATTGGGCTTTGGGCTTGGATCAAGCTAAGATTAGGGTAAAGCAGTCTTTTACCCCAAGCACGGATTTATGGTTATGTATTGGAAACAAATTATTAATTGGGTGTTATTTTGATGTTGAGAGTTCGAGAACCTATCATCTAGCAGTTGGGGTTAGGACTGCGGGACTTCAGCAGTGTGAGGTGAGTTACCTTCCAGTAGAAGTGGGTCTAAGGCACCAAGTTTAACCCAGTAGTAGTTGATCATAGTCGAGATGATTGTCTTTGTGATAATTTTCTAGTTTGCTACTAGCTGTTGTGTTCTATATGCCAGTATAATATGATATATGTGATAGTGGTGGTAGAAGGGGAATAGTCCCCCAATTTGGTCGTTAGGACCGAAGGGTAGGTCGGACACCCCAAATATGTCTAACAACATGATTATGATATGTTATTATGTCATAATGGTAGGGTTGAAATAGTCCCCATGACTGGGTGAGATAGACCGGTGGGTAGGTAGGCACCCCATAATGGTCTGATACGGGTAGATCAACACCCCATAATGGCTTGACATGGGTAGGTCAGCACCCCAGAATGGATTGACATAGGTAGGTCGGGCACTCTAGAATTCCCCGACGGTATGTATGATTGTATGGTGTGTGGTATGATGGGGGAACTCAGTAAGCTTTGTGCTTACGGTTTTCGGTTTTGGTTTCATAAACTTGTTTTCAAAGGAAAGGAGCCTGCTTGTTCGCAGCGCATCATACTTTGTCTTCCACACATGAGATCTTTGGGATTACACTATGATATTATTTCATGATAACATGTTTGATTATTGACACTTTGGTTTTAACATGAGATGTTATTATGTATGTTTTATTACTTATAGTATCATAATAACTTATTTAAAAATGAAAATTTTGGCCTTAAAGTTTGAGATGTTACACTAGGCGTCACTCTCGTAAGTAGATTGATCAATATTTTAACTGGAATAACTGATAAATCTTATTTATAGGTTCATAATAACGAATATGGATATAAATATAAGTTACATTTAAAACGTAGTAAGTGCAACTTAACTTACGTAATTTTTTGGCAAAAATTTTACAAAGTCATGGGCAAAACTTCAACTCTAAAAAGTTCTTTTCGTCGGGCTCTTTGACGTCGTAGTGCTTTTCTAAAGTATCCAAAACTCAGGGGGGGATCATGCTCGTAGTACCGGAAATTTTCCAGATTTTTGGAGTTAAAATGTATGGAAATGAGCTGATTTTGACTCCTATTATAGAAAATTAGGGGGTGTTGTGCCTCATGAACAAGGGTGTGGTGCACCTTAGCTCGGTGGCTTCTCTCGGCTGCTGCCACGTGTCATGTGTTCGTTGGTGTTATGTCATTGAGTAGGTAGAGGGAGACGTTTGTTCTTAGGTCACGAGGCACGCTCGAGATATGCAACGTCATCATTATCCGGTAAAAATCCAAATCTTCGAAAAATCACATCTTTAGCATACCAGCTCTATTATCAGGTAAAAATCCAAAATTTTGAAAAATCACATCTTTAAATCCCTGACTTCGTATCGACGAGCACTACAATTTTCCTTTAGACCTCAACGGCTAATTCACACTCTATTTTTAATTTAGAGTCTATGAATATTATATTATAGAAGACTTTGTCAAATTCATAACTTCTTCATACGGGCTTTGTTGTCGACGTTCTTTATATCGACAAATTCGTATTTCCAAGGACATGAACTCTCATTCAGATTGTTTTGCTAAAAAGCAACCGATCTCCATTTCAGTTTTTCTGACACAAATTGTTGCGTCGGGTGGAACACGAAACTCTAGAAAATCATACCTTCTTCACACGAAGTCAGATTTAGGATATAAGGGTTCGTAATCACGATTACTACAACTTTTGTTTAGATTATTTATCTTAATTAATCTTTAATTTCTAAACGTTTATTTATCCTTATTTGTTAAGTTTTAAAATAAATTTTTTATACAAATATTATGTAATGATTATTCGTTGTATGCTTTACGAGCGATAAATATATGTTTTTAATAGAAGATTAATTTGGATAAATCTTTACGAGCGATAAATATATGTTTTTAATAGAAGATTACTTTGGATAAATAATTTTGCGGAGAGTTGTAGTAGTCGTGATGAAGATTTTGTGGGTATATAAAACGCTCAAATCATGATTCATATGGAGTCATATGGAGAAGTTATGATTGTTCGAAGCCTTGCGTTCAATCTTAGACGACAAAAAGTGTGTCTTAAAATATGAATCGGAGATATGTTGCTTATTAACCTAACTAATCTAATTAAAATCTGTAGTAATCTTAAAAGTGAGAGCGTGGATATAAAGAACACCTAAATCTGACTTCGTATGAGGAAACTATGTTTTTCCGAAGTTTGAACATAGCAACGTGTGACATAGAAATCAAAATATGAATTGGTTGAGTGTTAACGAAAACAATGTAAATGAGAGTTGAAGATCTCGTAAACATGATTCTGTCGATATAAAAATAGTTGAGAACGAAATTCGTATGAAAGAGTTATGATTTTTTTACGGGTTTTAGCAGTACAACCCTTTTAAAAATATAAAATTAAAAATAAATTAAGAACTAGCCGACGAAGTCTAAATTAAAGTTTTAATTATTTTTGATAGCTACGTGTGGATATAAAGAATGTCGAAAACGGATATCGTATGAGAAATATATAACTTTAAGAAAAACATTAAAATTTGTACATGCTCACGTGGGGAAGGGGGGGGGGGTGGGTAAGCTTCCAGAAGCTGGGACACGACCCATCTGAATTTCGACACGTGGCAGCAAGGCAAAGGAACAACATCGACAAAAATACATGGCGCACCTCTTGTTTGTACGCAGCGTACTTTCCCAATTCGTACAATAGACTGCAAATCCCTATTCATTTCTCACACATTTCTCTTCCGTCATCTCTAGAGACACCTCCTTCCTTGAGCCTGACTTTTGCTATTTTAGCTAGGCACTGAAGTAATTAAGAGCCCGACAAAAATAAGCTTTCAGGTCAGAGTTCTGCCTATGAATTTTCCGGACTTTTGTCAGGAAACTCTGTAAGTTAAGTTACACCTATTTTACTTTAAGTGTAATTTATATTTATATCCATAATTGTTATTATGAACGTATAAATAAGATTTATCAGTGTGACATCCTTAAATTTATGGTTATTTTAAAACTTTTTATTTTTGCTTATTTTAAAACAGAATATTTCTTTTGTTGCGGAATTGGTCCCAAAAATATTATTTCAATGTGAGATAATATTAACATTAAACATTTCCAAAGAAACGTTTGTGTCACACCCCCAAACTGGAATGGTAGAAACGTTCGGGAGCGGGGGACGTTATGTAGAGTATCATAACAATGCCCAATAGTAAAACAAGTAACAATATCCATTGCATTAAGTATATAGTTAATACATGTGTGTTTTGTGTATAGTTGTATGTCACCAAAAATGTATAACAAAAATAAAAGACGAGTCTTGAACAAGCTCTGTCTTCTAAAAAGTGATCCAGTGTACTTGTCTACTTGTTCCCTGAGAATACAAATTATTTTGAAAGAGAGTATCAACATTTTAGTTCGTGAGGTAATAAGTATTTTAGTGTCAAGTGTTTGCATTTGTTTCATGAAAATGTTTGTATTTGTCTAGTGAAAATGTTTGTATTTTTCTAGTGAAAATGTTTGTATCATTACTAGAAAAACAATCTTTTAGGACACGCAATTAATGACACACGCTGATAGAGGACACACATTTGTGTGTCCCCAAAAAAAGAATGTTAGTTCACCAAAATTTCAAGGATATAGGACACACATTTTTGCGCGCCCTAAAATTAGTGTCCAACAAAAAAAAAAACACGGAGGGCACCTATCATAAAAGCATGTCGTGTAAATGTGTCGTTTTATATTTTTTAGAAAGGCGCGTTCTCCGTTGTTTTAATAATCTATGGTGGGAAATGAAATCCCAAAAAATTAAACAGCCACCTTCATCTCCTTCTAAAATCCTCTAACAAAAGACCCTAATAATCCTTCTTCGCCTCATTCATCTCCTTTTTCTCCTTCTAAAATCCTCAAACAAAAAACCCTAATAATCCTTTTGAAGCAACCCTCTTCCTCTACCTCTGCATTCTCTCTCTCTCTCTCTCTCTCTCTCTCTCTTTCTCTTTCTTTCTTTCTTTCTTTCTCTCTCTCTCTCTCTCACTCTCTCTCTCCCCCCTCTCTCTTTCTCTCTCTTTTTGGAAAACCCTAATTACCCTTCTGGTTTTCAGAACCAGGTTATCCGCTCTTGCCTCCGCTCCTATCGGACCACCACAGTCCCCCACCGGATTGCTAAAACAATAGTCACCGATGCATCACTTCACCCTTCTGGTTCGTTATCCCCCTCCCTTAATGTCTGCGATCGATAATGGAGATGATGTCCAACACTAGTACTCCATTACTCACATGTCGATATTTCATATTTGTAAACCCGATATAGATATTTTTGGGTCCGATTTTTAGGGATTACCATATGACTCATCTCTCCTCTCCGCCACCGTCACTGACCCACGCGCCGCCCGTCAACGATACCCATCTGATCTTGCTCCTTCTTGGTTCATTCCCAAAAGGTACATTCTTTCTATTTCTTCTCTGTTCGTATTTTCACTTCTTGATCAATCGAGAAGAAATCCAGCTAAACTGATCTTGAAATTCTCAACGAGACCCAATTTCATGTTCTTTATACCATCTTTTCTACAGGGGTGAATTTGACTTAAACAATTTTAAAGATGGTATTCTATCTTCTGCTTTGTAATCGATTATGTGAAACTGTTGATCATGATTTCAAGTTTGGACTAGATAACTAATCCCACCTTCAGTTTTCATTTTCCAATTTGGTCATGATGTTCTATCGCTTCAACATATTGGAGATTTCTTTAATTTATATTTCATATTTATAATTATGCTGGTAAGAATTTATGTACGTTCTTTTCTCCAAATTTTCTGATGTATGTCTATGGGGCTGGGGTTATCCATATCCAATTATACTGAATATGATTTTAATGGTTCTTCATGTCTATTTCCAGGGTTAGCTGAAGTCACAAACTTCTCCTTTTGCTCATCCATGTCTATCATCAGGGTCAATCCCCTTTATGGCCTCAAACCTTCTTAACGAGGACAATTTTATCATCAGGGTTTTGGTTTAGTGTTTTTTGTTCATTTTCTCTCAAGGATATGTAATAATTTCTCTTACTGAGCTTTTTGTGTCTTAAAATTGTTTAAAGAGAAATGCATTGAGGTCAAATTTAAGGTTGTTAATCTGACAACCGATCCACATATTGATGTTGTGTGTTCTACCTCTATTTCATCCAGGTACACATCGATCTCCATCGACATCTCCTCTAGGTGCTCTTGTATTTTGATTTTGATTTCATTTGGTCTTTCTTTTCTTTTACTTTTGAATTATTTTGATTTTCTGGTTTCTCGTTCTTCCCTCTTTTCTTTTGATCATCTGCTCTTTGAAATTCCTACAGCTCTGCATTTAATTGATTTACTTTGTTTCCAATTTAGCCGCTTGTGCTCCCTGTTGATATTTATTGAAATTCTTAGAAATCATAATCTAATATCTCATATTAAAAAACGGTACATTATAGGGATGAATTTTTGAGGTTTCCGGGCAAGATGGATTAGGCAAGACAATACTTGCTTTGAATGTTATCAAGGAAGCTCAAAAGCTTGGAGGTGCGTTCCAATGTTCTTTAATTCCACATATAAACAATGTTGGTGTTTCATATTTTATGATGATTAGAAGTTATTTTTGGTAGGTTATTGTGCTTACTTGGATATGGAGAATGCACTGGACCCCCTGCTGCTTGAAACAGTTGGTGTAAATGCCAAAAGTCTTCTCATCTCACAGCCAAATTCTGCTGAAAATTTGCTAGTATTGTTGACACTCTCACATAGAGTGTAGCAGTTGATGTGATTGTTATCGACAATGTAAGGAATTTTTTTGCAAAAGACATGAATGCCCTCCTTTCTTCTTCATCAAAGTCACCCCTACAAATCTTTTTTCCAATTGGCATCTTGGTTTTCTAATTCATTGACTTTATTTTTATAGGTTGCTACTCATCTCACAACGTGAAATTACAGGTGTAATAAGTGACAATATCATTGAGACACAATCACGAATGATGACACGAGCACTTCGCAAGATTCTTTATTTTTTATTTCGTTCAGATACTCTTATTATATTTATAAATCAGGTTAGTATACTATATATAGTTATAAAATCAGTTAAAATAGTTTTAAATATCTCATAATGTCATAGCCAATTGTTACTCTTGTTTTTAGGTGAGATCAAATTTGAGATCACGCCAAGCTTTAAGTAAATGAGGTGACATGTGGTGGAAATGCCATTTTATTCAGCTGTACAGATGAGAATTGCTAGAAAAGGATTGCTCAAGACTCAGGAAAAGGTTTAAAATAATAATAATTGTTTTATTATAATGATAATGATAACAATAGAAAGTAACTTATCTATTTTCAGGTTACTCGTCTTGGTATATGTGTGGAGGTGGTAAAGATTAAGCTAGCACCTGCTATGAAAAGGACAGAGTTGGAGATAGTTACTTCATAGATGGAGAAGTTGTCAATGGTAAGATGCAAACTGAAACTTATTTGATTAAGAATATAATAATTTGTGATAAGTTGGTAAAGACTATACAAATACACTTGTTTCGTATTGAACAAGAATCTGAATCATGATACAAATACATCAGAAAGATTGAGGACAAAATAAGTTGCAACTTTTTAAACATTCATTGGATTAGGGTATTGTTTATTCCGGGAACATTTTAGTCATTTAGTTATTGTTGGCAAACTACTAGTAAGATGTATTTGCTGTATGTTAACTTTTAACTAATATATTTTCCAAATTTGTTTAGTTAGTGTTAGTCTTTGTTGATTTTTAACTAAAATATATTGGATGAAATTGATTGTTTTGGTATATATGTGTTTGTATATTTTTGTATTATGTGAAAAAGAGTATCGTAAAGGCACATCGTATATCCATATCGTAAATGGTTGCTGAAGTTTATGACACACAAATGCGTTGCATCTTCATTTATGACATGGGCTTTAAAGATATACATTGCTTGTCCTAAAGGCGTGTCGTAAGGTTGCGACACGCAAATGTGTGTCGTCTTCCTTTATGACAGGGACTTCCTTGATACGCATTGCGTGTCGTAAATGCGTGCCGTAAATGCACGTCGTAAATAGACGACACGCAACAGCTTGGCGTCTCTCGTTATGACAGGGCCTTCTTTGACACACATTTGCACGTCGTCTGAGCGTTTTACGACACGCATTGCACTTCGTAAAATGTTGTTTTTCTAGTAGTGTATACTTCCCAGAAAATCCTATATTTTCTTCTTAGATGAAAAGTAGTTTTCTACCCAAGACTAAACTCTTTGTAGGTTTGGTTCTCTTGAAAATAGTGTAAAATGTATGTTTGTACTTTAAATAGTATAAAATGTATGTTTTCCATATTTGTAAACCATCTTTATTAGAAAAATAGTATTCATTTCTCATGTGAGAATATTACTATATGAATGTAATGGAAAATGAAGATTTATAGTAGTATGGTATAAAATACACTACTGATGCATTAACTGTCTTGAAACCAAATTGGTTAATTAATATTAAAATGTGATTAGGTTATAACCATGCTTGATCGACTAGTATAAAACATGACATTCTTCTGGCATCAAAAATGATATGACATTTATCAGCCGTAGACCTGCAGGTCCCACTGTAGCTAGCAACAAGGTGTGGGATGGTCAATCCTGTATAGATCTATACACAAACTCATGCTCCCCCTCTAGGAGACTCTGGTTACAAAACGGGACATAGCAAGAATATTGGTATGACATGAAATAATATCTCACATTTTAGTTATCTTGTTCTTGTTATAGTATGTAAGTTCCTTCTTGTTCTCGTAAATGAATAATATACATTGTAATGAATAGTAATAATATGCATGTATTGATTCATGTATGTTTCTCTGTTCCAGAAAATAGTATGTATAGACCCTATAAACTATTCCTATTATAGTTTACTAGTATGTTTGTTTGAATTGTTACTGATTTGGAGAAACGACTCAATTGCCCAAAGTATGCAACTGAGTTAAGTATGTTCTTTGAAAATGGGGTTTAATATTCATGCATATATTTAGCAAGTATAACTATGATTTAGCCGATATTCGGACTAGTGATCCTACCCTAAGCCCACAACCAAACAAGGAACATGAGTTACGATATTTAACAATAGTCCTAAGTCCGTTAAAGCATACTTATACATAAATATATAAATGAATATGATTTTGATATAAACAAAATTCTAAAATAGATTAAAAGAGTTTTCTAGAATGATATTTTACAGTATTTAAGCATTAGAAATCCTTTTGTTTGTTTTCACATGTAAATGTTTAACATAATTAACTTATTTTCTACTTATATTCTCCCCTAAAAGCATTTAAAAAGGGTAAATTGTAGGGGTATGAACTCACCTTATGTGAGTGATTCGATTGAAGGTTCGATATAGGTAGTTAATTCCACGAGTAAAGTCCCGTAACAAAATCAAGTCCTAAACACCATTCACGTAGCATATAAGTGTACAATTAGTGAATATACAAGCAAGTATGTTAAGGAAACACCTAGGGATGTAAGATTTACTTACAAATGAAGTGTTAGAAACGAAATCAAGGGGTTCCTTGGAGTTTACGGCTGCTAACTGTCCATGGCCCAAAGTGGTTTTCAACTGTAAACACTTGAAGATTCAAAGGGTGTGTACTTGGTGAAACTAAGAAGATTTAAGGGTTTTTGGCTGGGTGTTCTTGATGAGAGGAAGGAGATTCAAGGGTTTTCAGCCCAATGATCTTGATGAATGAAGAACACTTAAACATCCAAGCAAAATCCTAAAAATATTAAAAGGATGAAGGACGATAATTGAGAGAGAAAAGGTGTTTTCAGTTGGTGTTATTGAGAGCGAAGGGTGTCTTTTCGGATGGAATTGAAGAAGTGAGGAGGGTTCACGGTCCAACCCCTATATAGGGTCAAAACTGATGGGACACCATCGTTGGTTTCCACACCGAGCGGATAAGACCAGAGTTTATGGTTCGAGGAGTGGGTTCTCGGCCGTGAACCTCATTTGTGGCTGTAAACCTTTTGCGATCCGAAGTCTCAAGCTATGCGATGGTTTGCGGCTGCTAGGGATTTTTCGGTTCGGCTGAAGGTTCTCAGTCCCAAATGATTTCCCTCCAAAACACACGACACCATAGAATACAAGGTCTAAACACCAGTAACTCATTAAACTAACTACATTAAGATAATTTAAAGGAATAAGTTTGACCTTTACTTGATATGTTTGACTTTTATTGACTAAGATTGACTTTTACAATATTTGGAAATACAGGTTGTCACAGTTTGGTATTGATATCTTTACAAAACTTGAAATGTCATAACAGATACAAACATATGTAACGTCTTGAAAACTTAAGGTAAAATTTTCACAGTCTGGGGGATGCTGCACAGTCATGTCGTTCCCTTCCCTATTGAACTGGAAGTACCTAAAACCATGACCATAAAACCGTGAGCACAAAGATTAGAAAGTTCTCCAAAATACACATACCATAAATATCCTTGGGCCTAGCCCTCACATTGGGCACAACCCACAATACTGGGCCTAACCCTTTGTAACCAATGGGCCTCGCCAACATGCAATGCAAGAGTCATGAAGACAACTAGAATCCTACATAACATACATTGGGCCTAGCACTTTCTGTTCTATAGGACCAACCAAACATACAGATGGGCCTAGCCCAACATTCCATGCACAAGTCACAAAGATAACTAGCATATACAAATCTTAGTGGGTTGACATTGGTACCTTTGACCCACAGGTAAAGTGAGGATACTAACCTCAACCAAGAGATAACCGAATCACACGCTGCTTCTACTGGGCTCCTCACACTGAACACATCCAAATTACCCTTAATCAAAAATTAAGGTAATGATTAAGGATAACTTCCCATTATCCAAGGTCCAATTCATATTTTCTCATACGATTGGGTAAAAGACTAATTTACCCTTCCTATATATGGCCTAACAAAGTAAGGTCCAAACCCAAAATGACTAAAGGCCCAAAAATGTCCCAAAATCCATTCATGTTCGTATGCCCAACGTATGACACTAATGCCCAAAAACCATTCCCAACCTCTTAATGTCGTTGGAAAAAATGCACAACTTCTAGATCTAATTCATATGGTACGTATTAAGTCATAAAGTTCCTGACTTTATGACTTCGCATAGCTTAATAGAGTCCAAATGTACTATCCCAAAAATACGGTCCAAAATTTTCGTTTTAAAAACATAATAAAAATCATAATAGTCTCTGAACTTGGCGGTAATCTCTACCAATGTATCCGTAGTCTGCTGGAGGTCCTGGAACTCCCGTGCTGACTGCTATACCTCAATAACTGGTGCAAATTCGGCCCTGAACCTAGCCGAGAAGTCACTCCATGTCATCACGTTCAACGCGGCATCATCCCTAATAGCATGTCTAACCTCCTCCCACTAATCACATGCTTGTCCTTCAAGAGATAGGAGGTGAGTCGGACCTTGTCCTCATCGGGACACCGGTTAGAACGAAAGGCGTTGGCGACATCTGTTAACCATCGGCTGCTAGCAATGGGGTCCTTAGCCCCATGATAGTCTGGAGCTCCACAACTTTGAACTCTCTGAATGTCAACGTGCGTGCCCCCATCATGGCTATCATCTCGGTGCGGAACGCACCCAACCTCTCGTCTAAAATATCCATAATTCCCTCCTTGACCATACCAAAGATCACAAGGTTCTGGTCCAAAATGTTGCATGTAATCTCAGCTGAAATAAACTCTCTTATCTGCTTATCGAGCTACCCGACTCCAGAGCCCGAGCCTAACCCCACCTCCCTGGTGCCTGGACCGCTAATTGGTCTGGTACACAATACCACCATTCTACAACATAACAAAACCACCATCAGAATACCCATCACTATCGAGGGACCACACACGCATTACAAGTTTCCTGGTTTTATCTCAGCCCT